TATATTATACATATACACACAAACACACAAATTATATTATACATATACACACAAATTATATTATTAATTTTTTTGCCAATATCACCCAACCCAAATATCGGCTCAGTTTTACTTATCGGATCGATTCTGATGTTAATACCAATATATCGTGCATCCCTAGGCTCAAATATTAAAATAATTGGTAACATTTATTTATTTTTTTAATAATTTACAGAAGGCCTCTCGCAGCTAGTAGTTCTGAGTTAAAATTGTTGGGTAAAATTGTCACTATTTTTTTTCCCATTTGTGCTTATTGTGAAGTTGGTCTTAAATTTCACTTAAAGTGGCATTAAAAAGGTCTTAAAAGGTCTTAAATTCAAGTTGCCTTAAGCTGTAGGAACCTTGTAATAAAAAAATACGGTTTGCTTTTGGGATGCACAACTTTGGCTCCGTTTGCACCAAATAATCTAATGTGAGTTTGTTTTTCATCAGAARATTTGTGTGATTGAAGCTCTGCAGGGATAAAAACACAGTGTCTCCTCATTCAGCAGGCAGTAAAAGAGCAGCCATGCCAGAGATAAATAGGAAAGGGTCTGAATTGTGCATCCCAAGGTCAGAACCATTTTTCTCTCCTGAGAGCTTTTGCTCTTTTTTTCCCCGTCCTCTTGCTTTTTTTAATGATTAGCAGCTCTGCACAAACGCTCTGTTAGTGTAGACTTCCTTCAATGTCGCTACGTTTTTTTAATGTTCCCTGCCTAAACCAACGCCAATATTATTCTCTCTTCTGTAGTATCTATCCAGAAATGGAATAAGTGGCATCACGCGTGATAATTTTAGCTTCAGTGCAAAGATAAGGGTTGGTGACTTCTATGAAGCCAGAGAAGGACCCCAGGTGACTGCCTTTCATCTCTCTCTCTCTCTCTTTCTGTCCCTGATGCTTGTTGAGTCAAAGCTTCGGCTGCAGTCACTGTCAGGGCACGCAGAGAAATCAGCRGAGCCCCCTCTGTAGTCCTGACTTCACAGAGCTCTGACTGTGCATGAAGACATGTAATAATCAGTAACATTACTTCCACAGGTGACCAGTCGTTTGTGTGTTAATGTGCTTCGACGCATTTTATTCAAACTCTCAGAAAGTGWCCTGGTTTAAGACATTAACCACGATTAATTGATCTTAAAGACGTGTCCCGCCAGGCTGAGACCGCTGGACACCAGTTAGTGACTTAAGGGTTCCTCCGACCTCGATTTCAGCAACTGAACCGTTCAAATCGTGCAGTTTTCTCCCGTAAGCTGGAAAAACTGTGAATTTGTGGCCGCGCGCATTTTAGTTTTCTGAGGAAGTGCTCGCAGTCGGTCAAGTTTTGACCATCTTTAACTCGTCTCTAAACGTTAGAGATGAAGCGCAAACATTTAACTCAGGGATGGGCAACTAAAATAATGGAAGACCACAGTTTTTACCCAAATATAATTAAACTAACGTTTTAAAAACGTTTCTGTATAAATATGTCTATTAAACCAACATATTTCAGCTCAGATGCGTGTAGAACTAGCCTGGTAAAAACCAGACCCTTTTTCTTCACTTTGCTTCATATGAGGGTCTGGACTCTCGGCTATAGAGAAGCGATTCCTGCAGGAGGCGTGGCCTCTGCTGAAGTTTAAAATGATTSGATCGGTTGGCTGAGACGTATGTCGCTGTGAAGGAGGCTAAGCTAAGAAGCTAACAGGAAATCACGTTCACTTTAAACAACCCTACTCAGAGGAGAAATATACCGAGCTGAACGAGACGACTGTAAATGAGAGCTGCTGCTTTGTCAGACAGATTTATTTTAATTTGAAGTCTTATCAACACAGACTGGCTTCATTCACTTCCTCCACTGCCGTATGCTAAAATAACTAGCAGACACTGCGCAYAACATCGACGCCGTTCAAAACTCCGCCTTCTGTTTGCTGATTGGCCCAGGTGAAATAAACTACAAGCAGACACTGCGCAGAACATCAACGTTCTGTTCTCTGATTGGCCAAMACGAAAATGCTCCTGAAGAAATCCTCGTCTGTGAGAGAAATCCCAGACGGAGCAGTGAAGGAAACTAGAATTGAGCAGAACTGTAGGAAGGCAAGGGCCAGGCTAGTGTCGAACAGTTGTTCTCTTGTTTAATAAATATAAATACAAAACATTTGAACAAAGAAAACTAAACTCTTAAGTGAGCTGAAGACATAAGACGTTTTGAGGTCAGACTCCTGCCTGGTTCTGTTAAAAAGTCTGTTTATGTTCTTATGATCTCCGTTAACTTCTCATATTTAGCTTTGTGCAACGTGTTGTGATTTAAATTAAAATACTTCATGGCCGACAACGTCTCTAAGCAGGTTAAAGGTTTGTCTTGAAATTCTGTCAACAAAAAAATATTTATTTTAAAGGGTTTTTGACTTTTTTTTTTTTTACTTTAAAAGGCAAAAATGAAATTTAAAATTGGGGGCGGCTCATTGGTGGGCCAGACGGAAGTCACTCGTAGGCCGGATGTGGCCCTTGGGCCACCAGTTGCTCATCCTTGTTTTAGGAACAAACCTTATTAAGCTGAAATATTGTTTTATTTTTGGACAAAATCTTTGTGAAACAGCAGCTAAAGTCCAAGTCTTAGAGGAAGCTGACAGAACATTTTCTTCAGATCAAGCAGAAAGTTCGGCTCATTGGAAGCAAAACATCCAGAAAGATTTATGGCTTAGGACTTTTGCACAGAACGATGTGTCTTAAACATAAAGAATAACTAAAAAWCATAAAAACACAAAGAAACTTGAAGATTTACTGAAAAACAAACATTTAATGAATCGTTTTTTCAAATTTCTGATTAAAAACCAAACTCTGTTTTTGTTTGTTGTTAATCAGGTTGGAGTTTAGTCACCAGATGATTAAAGACATTTTTTATAAACGTATTTCCTGTTTGGTCCCTCCTCATCCTCTCCTCCTCTGTCTCCAGGGTCTGCAGTGGACCCTGCTGAAGGAACACGAGGTGGTCCCTCGAATCTTAGCCATGGAGGGTCGGAGGGGTCGCCCCCCCAACTCGGAGCGCCACCTGGCGGGCGACGGCTCCAAAGGCAGCCGGCGGAGGAAGGGGCGACCCCCGAACGTGGGCGACCCGCTCGGGCCCGAAGGCCCCAGCCCCAGTGAGGTCAAACTTCTGCGCAAGCTGGAAGCTCAGGGTGAGGAGCCGAGTCCAGAGAGGGTTTCCTCCCAGAGGAGGGGTCGGGACCCTCTGTGGGTCCTGAAACATCAAGTGACGGTCCCGAATTATTTCCAGATTTAAACTCAAATAAAACACTGATGAAATATTTTCATCACAGTTAATGCAAGAAAATACAATAAAAATATAATAATTATTATTATAAACAAGAGAAATTACCTTTCCTGTGAAAATGTTAGTGTGAATGCTTCTTGCTGAAAACTTCAGCTGAAAGCTGCTGAACTGGAGCCAAACTGTTGACGCCAGTTCAATTTATAAACCCGAAAGAGGCACAAAAGAGCAGAAACTACCAGAAGAACAGCAAAAAGAAGCAAAATAATAGCTGAAATAGCAAAAAGAATTTCAAATTAGCATTAAAAACAAGCTAAAGATAGCAGACGCAAGTTTAAATTTGCACCCAGATGGTGAAAGGGTGTAAAAATGTCAAACTAGAAGAAGAAAATGAATAAAAGTACAAAAAAGTCACAATTCGTTGTATAATGGCTAAAACAGCTAAAATGTAGCCAAAAAAATCTTAAATAAGCATAACGTTTGCTGAACTTAGCAGAAAGAAGCTGAAATAGCCACTAAAAATACCTTGAAAAAGCAAACTTTAGCTAATAGCAGCTGAACTTTAGCTAAAATTGTAGCAAATAGCTGAATATAGCGGAAAGCAACTGTAAGAAGCAGAAATGGCTCAAATTAGCAAAAAGAAGCACTAAAAAGTTGCAGAAAGAAACTGAATTATAGCTAAAATAGTAGAAAAAGGCTAAAATTAGCACCAGGCGGTTAAAAAGAGCAGAACCAGAACAAAACGTGTCAGGTTCTGTAAACATTTATAAACATTTTGAAGGATTTAAAAAATGTTAAAACAGCTCCTTTCATTTTCAKTGGCTAAAATTTGGCAGAAAGGGCGAAATAGCTAAAAAAAGAAGAAAGTATAAACAGCTGAAATACTAAATGTCACTGCAGGATTGTCATAAATGAGCCGAACGTTTGGAAATAAGAGGTTGAAATAGAACAAAAAGAAAAGCAGTATCAGAGTTCTCAGGTTTGTTTATATTTTATTACAACAGGTTTAACTGAGTGATTAGAAAAGGCTGCAGCTCTTCTTTAAGTTTGAAAACCAGTGTTTGAACGGTTTGGAGGTCACGACCTTTGACCTTGAACCTGCTGACTGAGGCCTTTAGAGTGTGAGCTCATTGCACGGTCTGACCTTCAGGGTGAAGGCTTCCACACTAATGAGAAGATGGAACATGTTGTGTTTTTGTTCTCTTGACTTGTTTTAGGAGCTGATAAAATCAGTTAAARGTTGTGAAACCTCAGAACTGAGAGGAGCAGGACTTTCTTCTTCCTCCAGCTGCACTCAGACGTTCAGAAACTAAGATTCCAGGAGAGTTTCAGTAATCCCCCCACGTGTTTCACCAACGACTTTCTTTCTTTTCTTTTCTTTCTTTTCTTTTCTTTTCCTCCTGCTCTGTAGAAATCGCCCGACAAGCGGCTCAGATGAAACTGATGAGGAAACTGGAAAAGCAGGCGTTGGCACGTGCAGCTAAAGAAGCTCGCAGGCAGCAAGGTGAGCGTGGCTTAAACATGCCGCTGCAGGTTCTGGGTCGGGTCGGGTCGGTCTGCGGCCTCGGCCCGCTTTGATCAGAGCCTGAATACCAGCAGGCCCTCTTTGTTTGTGTTGTTCACATTTGATTCTTTAGCTTTAAAGCAGCTTTCATCTTCATTCTGCTGAAACATTCTGTGCATTAATGCTGCCGGTTCTGGACTGTGGACCGGTTCTGGACTCAGCTTTCAGACACTTGAACCAATCAGGACATTACAGCTGTGACTGCACCTGTAAAACTGTAACTTTTACAGTTTTTGCCTTTTAAAGTTTACAGTTTCTTCTAAACTTTGTGAATTTTACTTTAACATACTTTATTTGTCTCTTTATGCTATTTTTTGTCTACATATACGTCCTTTTTGTCTCCTTGTGTTGCTTTTATATAGTTTTGTGACTCATTTTTGTCTTAAAAGACATAAATCTGTAAAGAAAGGAAAGTCTTTCAACAAAAACTGAGTCATGTTTTACCTGGAGAGCTTCACTAAACGCTAATATGCTAAACAAGCGTCTTAGCTAATGCTAAACAGATAAAAGATTAGTGGAAGCTAATGCTAACTGCTAACATAACTGTCACTTAAAACCCTTGTTAGTTTTCTATTGGTTTAATTTAAAGGTGGGCGGGATCCTCTGTACCAAATCAGCCAATCCAAACCAGAGTTAGAGCTCTGTCTAARCTGTCTTACTTCCACTTTAACCCTTTCAGAATAAAAGCATTTCTTTGAATGAAATTGTATTTTTATAAATAGTTTGAAGTTAGTCAAACKATAAATACTTTCTCTACTATATTTTTTTAGCCAATTTCATATTTGTTATTTAAATATTGTTAAATACTATGATACTGAGTTTGAAGTTTAGCCGCTAAAGATGCTACATGCTAACACACGTCCAGCACTGCTTGTAAGCGCAGATAGTTTTTTATTTAATTCTAGATAAACGGTATAAAATAATTTAATAATAGACTTAAGATTAATGGGACCTAATTTAGCAGAAGCTAATCGATCCGCTTCYTTAGCAACAGAAAAGCTAACTCGCTAAATGATAAGCTAGTTCTGTTATCAGTGGATTAGCAGAARTGTGCCCACCACTGCAAATTCTGCTAAAGATGCTACATGCTAACACACCTGACATGCTGATTTTGTATTTTTTTTTTCTGGATTTTTTGTAGTTGGTTTTCTGTCTCCATTAAAACAAAACTACAGTAGAAATGAGAGTTTCTTTGTAAGCTGAATAACTGCAGTGCTTGTTCCACCGTACAGGATCAAGTGGTGGTAAAACTATGAATGACMGACAAAAATAAATATTTTTTAGACACTGATATAAGCTCACCTGTGTCCTGCAGCGATCATGGCAGCAGAGGAGAGGAGAAAGCAGAAAGAGCAGATCAAGATACTCAAACAGCAGGTTGGTCTTTTTACTGGACATTTATTCAAAACATTTAACCTAAAATAAAAACAGTTTAATGAATATTTCTAACTTTTTAATTAACCACCCGCTCAGCTTCTCTGTATCTTTGCCCCCCCCCCCCCCTCTTCTGGGAACAGAGCGATGCTATCTGTGGGTGTTTTTTCCTTTTCCTAATTATTAAAAGATTTATTTATTTTTTACAGGAAAAGATCAAGCGCATTCAGCAGATCCGGATGGAGAAGGAACTGAGGGCGCAGCAGATTTTGGAGGTAGAGAATCTGATCCGGCAGCACCTCTGATTAAGCAGAGCGTTCCTGGATAGCTTCAGCCCCTCAGTCTATAGTGTTTTTAATCTTCCTAAAGCTCATTACTGAACAGCAGCATGCATTGGAGGGAGTTGTGTCTTCTTAGGCATAATTCCACATGGAACTAATGCTAAATTGGTCTTGGTTGACGGCTGTTGAATATTAAAATGGATGCTGCTGCGTCTTCAGACCTTATTTAAATTGGACAGAAAAGTCTTTTTTTCATCAGACAACAGTAACAGTTTAGCATAAGTGGGTCAAGAAAAAAAAACCCAGTTTTCCACCCATAAACTCACATCCCATACATGTGCATACACACACAGCTGCACTGCAGGAGCTTCAAAGTGTTTTTACCAGGACTACATCAATTCTGAGTTGACACGGTTGGCGAGCCACACTTAACAGGAGGCTTCAGCGTTTTCACAATTACGCCTTAAAGAGATACATTATTCATTTTCTGTGTTTTACAAATTTGACTGGCATTCAGGAGCGTGAAATCTTTGCTCAAAAACTATCGCTTTAAAGTGCAACAAAGCCCTCAGCCAAGACGGATTGATATCTGTCTGCGATTGACCGTAATCTTTATTCATAGGCTAAACGGAAAAAGAAGGAGGAAGCCGCTAACGCCAAAATACTGGAGGCTGAGAAGCGCATAAAGGTTTGTTTGCTTTTAAAATAAACTCCTGAAAAATGTATTATAGATGCAGCTGGGGTGAGAAGTTTCCATCCTCAATAATTTCAGAACACTTTGGGTTTTCTGTTGATTGATTTAAAGCATTGTTTTCTTCTGGGGTGGAATAATTATACAACATACAGTATAGCTTTGATAATTAAAAAAAAACAAGCAATTATTGGCTGCACAAGTTTGAACTTTTATGGATTTACCAGAATCCAAACTAGCTTTATTCATGCTTGCACCAATGTTTTAAAGAAATGGTGCTGAAGGTTCTAGAGCCTTAAACACCGGACTAATTATCTGTACCAGTCCATGGATCATTTACTATAACCCTATAAACAAACATTAGTAAACAAACAAACTAACTAACTAACCCTGGAAAAGCAAACTAACTCTAACAAACCTACTAGCTAACCCAAGTAGACCTACTAGCTAACCTTAAAAAACCTACTAGCCAATGCTAACAAACCTATAAGCTAACCCTAACAAACCTACTAGCCATCATTAACAAACCTACTAGCTAACCTTAACAAACCTACTAGCTAACATTAACAAACCTACTAGCTAACATTAACAAACCTACTAGCTAACCTTAGCAAACCTACTAGCCAACATTAACAAACCTACTAGGTAACCCTAACAAACCTACTAGCTAACCTTAACAAACCTACTAGCCAACATTAACAAACCTACTAGCCAACATTAACAAACCTACTAGCCAACATTAACAAACCTACTAGCTAACCCTAACAAAACTACAAGCTAACCTTAACAAATCTTCTAGCTAACCAAGTAGACCTACTAGCTAACCCTGCCAAATTTACAAGATAAGCCTAGAAGCTAATCATAGCAAACCTACAAACTAACGCTAATGTCCTACTTGCTAACCTTGGCAAAMCTACAATCTAATCCTCGTACACCCACTAGCTATCCCTATTGAAATTACAAGCTAACCCTAGCAAGCATGAAAGCTAATCCTAGCAAACATATAAGCATGACGGCTCACAGCAACAATGTCCTTGGTTCGATCCACGGTTTGGGCCTGGGGTCTTTCTGTGCGGAGTTTGCATGTTCTCCTTGTGCTTGTGTGGGTTTTCTCCAGGTACTCCAGTTTCCTCCACCCCTAAAAACATGTACAATAGGTTGCCTTCAGGCCTCCCTTGAAAAAGAGATCTGAGATCTCAATGGGACTTGCCTGGTTAAATAATGGTGAATAAATAAATAAATAAATAAGCTAACCTTAGCAAACATACTAGCTATTCCTCACAAACCTACATGCTAATTTTAGCAAAGCTACACGTTAACCTGGGTTGGTATATTTAAGCCTCTTCGTATGATTTTTTTTAAATCTGAAATACACTCAAACTTGTTCTTGTTTTTTAAATCTTTGAAGTTGTATGTCACACACCCTGGGAAAACAGTTATAAAGATCATAAAAGGCCAAAATTAAATGTATTAATTATGCCCCTCATGTTCTCATTTATGCTTTAAAGGAGAAAGAGTTGAGGAGGCAGCAAGCAGAGATTCTCAAACACCAGGTAAGCATGGCTCTTAAATGTTTTTAAATGTTGAATAAAATTGTTTTAAAAATCTAACCTAATTTTTAAAAAAAAACTTGAGACGTGTAAATAAACAGGACGCAACGATTTGCAAATTTCATACATCCATAATTTCTTCACATAGTAAACATATCAAATGTTGAAATTAGGAAATTTTTTGTTCGAAAAAAAAAGGTAATTTTTTTTGAGACTGTCCTCATTACTAAAGAGGAGAGGGACCATCCAGCCTGTTATCAGCATGGTTTAAAAGCCAGCCTCTCTGACAGTATGGGGGTGCATTAGTGACTCCATGGACAGCTTACACATCTGGAAAAGCTCCATAAATGCATAAAAGTATTAAACATCTGGTCCTAGSCAGTTAACATATTACTCTGTGAAGAGTAAATATCAGAATCACATATGTCCCARTATGAAATGTGCAAATCTTTGCATTCTGTTTACGTTTTAAGCAGTATTGTGTAGGTGTGTGTGTATGTGTGTGTGTGAGCTTTTAAGATGTGAATGAGATTTCTTTAATGACAAACTTGAGTGTTTTCTTTATTAAAATCCATGTTTATGGCTTTTTTTTTTTTTTGGAAATCACTTTTCTGTTTGATAATATTTTGCCAACTCTCTCTGCCAGGAGTTGGAGAGGCATAGACTAGATATGGTATGGGTATGTTTATTTTTGTACATCTAACACCTGCATCGTGTAACTGGTTGTGTTATGGTTGTCATAGCAATGCATTAAGTGTAGCACTGGCTGCTGTCATACTACATTCTTCTGCATGGCTTTCCAGCAAAACCAACAAAAGAGAGAAAGAGTCAGTATGCTGCCTCCATCTGCTCGTCCTGAGGGACAACTGACCCCGTCACGGTGGCCAGGCAGCTTCTGTCCCCCTCCCCCCGCCTGCCGCTCCCTCCCCCCTCATCCTCCCCTATTTCTACTCAGAATGCATCGCAAAGACCGCTAAGACGATCCACGCTCACTGTCAGAGAGAGGGAGAGAGAGGGAGGGAGAGAGAGAGGGAGAGGGAGAAGTTTCCATCCATCACACGAAGCCTGTCGTATCAGCCTGTTTGACCCACGAGTGCTTGGCGATTTCAGCGCAGAGATGGAGCTTGTGTCTGTCTGCCYTCCACAGAGTGTTGGACTTTAACCCGTCTCTCCTCCCTCCCCCTCACACCCCCCACCGTCCCAGCCTCTCTGTCATTCACTGTTCCTGCACAGAGAATGAAAGCAGCTACTGAGAGTCATTTTGTCTTCATGGTGGCAACACTTCCAGGCAGATTTCCTGAGCTCCGACTTCGCTTTGAAACGGATCTCTTTCACTCCCCAAGAACAAGAGCGGGATTGATTCCACCATGGGGACAAATATGGTTCTGTGTAGCGTTTTATTTTTGGCTCTCCTGCTTGTCGCTATTTTCACTCACAGTCACAACTGAATCTAAACATCTGCCTATTTTATTCGTTTTTTGTTGTTTTTTTTCATCACGGCGCAAAGTGAATTTACTGCATCAGCCTTCATCTAGAGGCCCGTGAAGAGGTGAAAATTAATGCATGAAAAAATAAATAAAGCTAAATTCCACAGGCTTTTTTCTAAATTTACTTTTCTCTGGTTATCTGTAGTTGATAAAGACATCTCGTCTCTCGTTTAATCATTCTTGTGCTGAAAACATTATTGCTAAACTAAAAATCTGGTATCTTTACTGGGCTGTGATGGTGGAGACTCGTTAGCAACTCTTAACTCTGAAATATTCTGCTAATTTTTTGTTGCAAAATTATGGAGATAAATTAGTCCCACAATCCGAGCGAGAGCATCAAGATTTGACCGCGAGCGCAATGAGATTTGAGCACGAGCAACAAAACTTGAGCGAGCACAATAAGATATGGGCGAGAGCAACAAAACTTGAGCGAGCACAATAAGATATGGGCGAGAGCAACAAAACTTGAGCGAGAGCAACAAAATTTGAATGCACACAAAGCTTTATGCTTGAACCTCATGATCCGAGTTCACAAACAGCGTAATTTGAGTTTGAGCGCAACAAGAGTTAAATGCGCACAGCTGGATTTGAATGCACACGCGACACGATTCAAGAACAACAAGAGTCGAGTGCACACAAGTTTTAAACGTGAGTGCAAGAAGCTCTGAGCATGAACCACAAGATTCTAGTACACAAGCACCATGATTTAAGTGCAACACAACTAGATTCAAGCCAACATAAGATTTGAACGCACACATCAGGGTTCGAGTGCACCATCAAAAGATTGGAGTGCGACAGCAGCAGCATTCGAGCGAGCGATCTTGTTGWGCGTGCGCTCTAATTGTGAGACTAATTTATCTCCGTACAGAATCACTAAATTCAGTGTTTGTGACCCGTGAGCTGCGCAGCCACATTTTACACAGTTAATAAAATATATCTTTATTTTTATTATGCGCAGCTTGCCAAACTATCCAAACATTTGTTGCCCACTTCCGCTCACATCGTACCCGGCTCCACCCACTTTGCGAGACTCCTTTTTGTTCCCGGAGCACCAAAGCACTCGTTTTACTTTTCCTTGTTCAGAGTTCTCCTCCCGTATCTCATCACACAAATAAATAAAACGTTCGAATTACAAAACAAAATGTGTGATCCAGTCTGGAGCGGTGCGCTTTGACTTCTCTTTGGTTCGTCCCACGACAGAAACAAAACGTAGAACAAAAAGACTTTCAGAAAATAACGGAAATTAATGGGATTTTTGGCGAAACAGATGAGAGAACCCAGCTCAGATCAGACTTCACGTGTCTGAAGTGACGGTTTGATATATTTAACAGTTTTTACACAAAGTTTGACTTTTGGAACAAATTATTCATCACTGGGAAGATGTTTCTGTCTTCTTTCACCCAGCATGTCGGACCCACAGTTTTCCCTTAAATCCCCAAAAATTTACATTCAGGCCTCAAAGTTTATGTTTTAGGAGTGGAGGAAGTAAAAAAATGACTACAGTGTAAATATTATCAGAAAAAGGCATAAATTAAATTTGTCACGTGCGACCCGTGACGTTAAACTGAGAATCAAGTCAAGTTTGGTAAAAGTGACSTGGGCACGTTTTCAGATTTCTGTTTTTTATCTTCCTGATCAGGAAAACTCGTTGATATTTGGTTTGAATCCTGTTTTCAGGTTATTCTAATGAGGAATATTTGATGTCATTTTAAAGAGGAAACATCAAACAATATTTGGATTTTAAGATTTACCAGTTGGAAGAAAAAAAGCTTTATAAACTGCAGGAAAAATGACTAAAAATTAACATTTTTTCTGCTTAAAATGATGTTTTATGTGACTACTGCTCAAAAAGGACTATTTAGTTTAAATGACCTGTAGATAAGATATTTTTTATTAGTTGTTGCAAATATTTTAAACGARGCATTACAGCTGCTGATATCACTGTGATTTAATCCTCAGTCACATATAGAAGCTGTTCTTGTTGGATTTAATTATAAAATACGATAAATAAATATATTAACTGTGGGTCCTTTGAAGGAAATGATCAAAATAAAACCATAAAGAATTTTCTGAAGCACTTTTCTGACCAGAATCAACAACGAACTTTTATTTTCAGCTGAAAAATTAAACTTTTTTCTAGTGTTTCWGCTGGTGAAGCTGTTTTCAGTCAGCTGGTAAATCCTGAATTTGTTTGAGAGTTCCTCTTTCAGATCCTGTCGACATTATCTAAATCAAACCTTCTCCATCCCTGAGACAAACTAAAGATAAAAGTAGCTGAAAAATACGGAAATCTGAAGTTTAGTTTGAAKAAATCTGACTTGATCCCAGGTTTGATCAGATCATGATGTCCTGAGCCCTCCTGCTGGTCTGAGTCTTAAAACCAGGGTCCGGTTCACTGCTGTCGCACTAAAAAGGATTTTAAAAAAAGGCTACTCTAAAAATAAGTTTAAAAAATGATTTATAAAGATGTTTTATTCAAGCCTCAACAGATAAAGAGAATCTTGAAACTAGTTGCAAAAATTAATTTAGTCTCAGAATAAACTTGTGATGCTCAGAAGTATCATATCCCTTCAAAGGTTGCATCTTGTTTAAATAATAATTTAACTTAATTAAATTTTAGTTCTATTATTGTAGCGAAGCTGTGGATCCAGGTCCACAACTTATTTAAAACAAGATTATAAATTTAGATTTTAAGACWAATTATCTTTAAGTTAGCATTTCTGTTTTCAGTTTTCTGCAACCTGTTATCATATTTAACCAGCAAACATTTAAACATGTTTTAAATTCAAAATATTTCCTATAAAACAAACAAATGAAGGTTTATTTTTGCATTTAAACACATTTATTTGATCACACTGGTGTTTCATGCAGTATCCTACACAACCAGTCCTTTTACAAGTTTAAAATGTAACAAAATAAATCAAACTAAACTCTTACAAATTATCAGTAAAGCAGATTTGTTTTGCAGAAACAAGATTTTCATGTCTTTCAAACAAAACAGCAACTTTAAACTCTGAAATAAAAACATGAAGATCTGACTTCTGTGGGTTTAGAGATGAGGCTGATGGTTTGGACCCACAGCCAGCAGGAGGACTGAAATAACAGTAATATTTACATTTAAGCCCTAAATTGAAACAAATGTCGTCCCTCAGCAGAAATCAGAACCACGAGTCAAACAATCGACTAAAAGACGTTTTTGTTTGGTGTCAGACGACTTGTGGGAACCGGCATTTTGTTGCTTTTGTTGTGTCAGCTTTAGTTTAGAGGCGCCGTCACCGATTCCAGCTGCTTCTCTCTTTTTGTTTCGTTGTTTATTTTTTTGTTTTTGTTTTTAGCCTGTCATCACATCTACTCTGTATGGCATCTCTGTGTTGCTTTTCGGTCGTCATCGTACTCCTGTGCTCTTCACTTTATGCTTCCACCATACATGTGAACGTGTTTACATGTGAAGCATTGTTCTGTGTTTGTTCACTTGTGGTGCCTCTGATGAATTTAGCCGCATCACAGTCGTTGCATTAATGCATAAGCAGCACAGTCGACCTTCAGCGCTGCGTGCGGCGCGTGTGTGTGTGTGTGCGCGTGTGTGTGTGTGTGCTCGTTAACGTTTCCTTTTCTCACTCTAGGAGAGGGAGAGGAGGAGGCAACATGTAATGCTGATGAAGGCTGTTGAGGCTCGCAAGAAAGCAGAGGTAGTCAACACGAATCTACGACCCGCTCCCTGCCGTGTTTCTGATTGTGTCTGTTAGCAAAATATCTCATGAACCAATTGATGGATTTTAATAAAACTTTCAGGAAGTAATCACTGGATGTACATCTACAGCTGATTAACATTTGGAGTCGATCTGATTAAAAATGGCCGTCACAGTTAACTGATCTTATAAAACACAAAAATGGCAAAAACTCATTGAATTTTTCACATATTGAGCTCAACTTTGGCATGGTAGTAGCTGAGACTTACTCACTCAATATTTGTCAGTGTTTCTCACTGTGTGAATTATTTTTGCTTAAAACAATGCAGTAAGTTAGCGATATCAACACWGCTTTTCTGTTAACAAAATATCTCATAAACCAATAGATGGATTTTAATGAAACTTTCAGGAAATAATCACTGGATGTACARCTAGAGTTAATTAACTTTTGAAGTCAATCCAATTAAAAATGGCCACCACAGCTAACTGATCCTATAAAACACAAAACTGGCTTAAACTCACTGAATTTTACAGACATGAAGCTATATTTTTACATGGTAGTAGCTGAGAGTTATTCACTAAACATAAATCAAGTGTTCCTCACTGGGTGAAATGTTTTTCCTAAAATAAGGCAGTTAGTTATCAACGTCAACACTGTTTGTCTGTTAGCAAAAWATCTCATGAACCAATTGATGGATTTTAATAAAACATWCAGGAAGTAATCACTGGATGTATATCTACAGCTGATTAACATTTGGAGTCGATCTGATTAAAAATGGCCGCRACAGTTAACTGATCTTATAAAACACAAAAATGGCAAAAACTCATTGAWTTMTWCACWTATRGAGCTCAACTTTGGCATGGTAGTAGCTGAGACTTACTCACTCAATATATATTAAGTGTTTCTCACTGTGTGAAATATTTTTGCTTAAAARAATGCAGTTAGCGATGTCAACWCTYCTTTTCTGTTAACAAAATATCTCATAAACCAATWGATGGATTTTAATGAAYCTTTCAGGAAATAATCACTSGATGTACWWCTAGAGTTYTTTAACTTTTGAAGTCGATSCAATTAAAATTGGCCACCACAGCTAARTGARCCTATAAAACACAAAACTGGCTTAAACTCACTGAATTTTACAGACATGAAGCTATAATTTTACKTGGTAGTAGCTGAGAGTTATTCACTAAATATAAATCAAGTGTTTCTCACTGGGTGAAATGTTTTTCCTAAAATAAGGCAGTTAGTTATCAACGTCAACACRGTTRGTCTGTTAGCAAAATATCTTATAAATCAATAGATGGATTTTAATGAACCTTTCAGGAATTTATTGCTGGATATACYTCAACAGCTGATTAACATTTGYAGTCGATCCGATTAAAAATGGCCGCCACAGCTAACTGATCCTATAAAACAGAAAAGAGGCAAAAAGTCATGAATTTTTCAGACATGAAGCTAAAACTTGGCGTGGTAGTAGCTGAGAATCCTCCTCAACACGAGATGATGTCAGACTAAAACTCTGCTCCCATTTACTCCCACACTCACTTCCTCTTCTTTTTATTTTCTCGTGTAAAAAGATTTGAACCCTWCGGCGTTTTTTTCTCCGAATGCGTCTGATTTCTAACACGGCTCAGCAGAGTCGAGGAAAACTTTCTCTCTGTTTATTTTTTATTATTATARATATATATTTTTGCACACGTTTTCTCCTCCTGACGCTCTCCGGGTGTTCGGGCCTCTTCAGGAGCGCGAGCGCTTGCGGCAGGAGAAGAGGGACGAGAAGCGCCTGAACAAGGAGCGGAAACTGGAGCAGCGAAGGCTGGAGCTGGAGATGGCCAGGGAGCTGAAGAAGCCAAACGAAGACATGTGTCTGTCCGACCACAAGGTAGAGCCGTGGTTTGAACAACATTAAATCAGTTGCMTTCCTCCACGGGGCTCTGCTGTGAGGAAACGTTAGGAGAGTCTGCCCCCTGCTGGTCAAAGAAAACCATCACAGCTTTAATGAAAAAKCCTCTGGTTTCTCTCCGCAGCCTCTCCCTGACTTCTCCAGGATCCCCGGACTCATCCTGCCGGGCCGGGCCGTGTCGGACTGCCTGATGCTGATGCAGTTCCTGCGGGGCTTCGGGAAGGTCCTGGGCCTGGACCTGAACGTGGACGTCCCCACGCTGGGGATGCTTCAGGAGGGTCTGCTCAACGTGGGGGACAGCATGGGCCAAGTCCAGGACCTGTTGGTCAAACTGCTGTCTCTGGCAGTCTGCGACCCGGGTCTGCCTCCCGGACAGAAGGTGAGACCATCTTTGTTCTGTGTCTCGTCCCACGTTTGTTCTGTTTATATTTCAGCACATTCAGCTCCTTCAGCACATTCCTGCCGCGACTTCAGCTGTTTCAGGAATTTTTTAAAAGATATTTAGCTTTTTCTGACAGTTTTTTTGTTTTGTCAGTGAAAATGAATGCAGCCGTCTTTAAACACTGAAGTGTTTATAAATCTTTACCTTTTGTTCTGTTTTTTTTTCTTTTTTACTTTTTGCTAATTTCAGCTCCTTCAGCTGATTTTAATGAAACTTTCAGAAATAATCAGTGATACGTCTACAGCTGATTAATGTTCAGAGTTAAAAATGGCCGCCACAGCCAACTTTGTGCTAATTTCATCTTCCTTCAGCTTTTCACTCTCACCTTTTCTGCTATTCTTCTTCTAGTTCAGATTTTTTGTTCATCTTTCAGCTTCTTTTTGATCATTTCGGCTATTTTTTAAATTTTTTTTTAGTCATTTTGAGTTATTTTTCAACTAAACTCACCTTTTTGTGTTGATTTTAGCTTTTTACTGTTTAATTCAGAAAACATCAGTGTCCTTTTCTTAATTTTTGTTTTTTTTCTACATTTTAGCTTTTTGTGTTATCTTTTGGGTGTTTTAGCTATTTTACAATTTGAGAAATTTTTGTTGTCCTTTTCTTGATTTATTTTTATGATTTAAAAGTTTTTTACACTCCTTTCATT